TACCCTCTGTGTCCGTGGCAGTTTCCTTTGGCAGGAATTCGCCTATCGATGTACGCCGCTGGAAATGGGGCGATATATCCAGATTACTCGCTCTTTATTACATTCCACGACACTCTTACGCTGCTCGTAATATCACGTTGCGAGAGGCTACGATAGCTTCGAATATTACATTTAATAAGCTAGTATCGGGTTCGTTCTCCATTACGCGGAATATAGACGATCAAATTTTCTGTCGATCCTCTATTTTTTCCTGGTTTCCTTCCTAACGGTACGAAGGATGCTTTCGAATGAGATCTGATCGACAAAACTTCCATATTTTCGTAATTTCTTCGGATGAATGTGGTCCGTTTAGAGAACGCTTTTCGTGCTTTTCTTCTGTGAAACTTCAGGTACACTTCGTTTTCTTCGAGTTACAGACATGTTATTCAATGTTGAGGAAGATTTATTATGTATCAATTAGAATGACACCAATGTGTCATTTATAAAATATCATACATATGTATGAGGCACTGTCTGAATTCGATTCGTGTAAAAGATTATACAAAGACTGATACAGCAAAATTACACAAAAGCACGATCGATCACCACTCGAACCTATCTAAGTCAACCTAAGAAACCAGAAATCAATAAGCGAAGCATGGTTCCCAAAAAGAAACCAGCTGTTTTATTACGTAAAACTGATAAAAATACAAGTACTAAGAGTGTAAGCAAGAATAACACGAAGGATAACGATTAATGCCACAAGAAAACTCAGGTTAAACGAAAACGCTTTACTTCAACCAACCTACCGCAGAATATTTATTAAAAAGTTTCTACACCCTACATCCAAGTAGCTCCACTCTCAAATGAAAAACAAATTCTCATTCCTTCAATATCACCCTATCTAAACTACTAAACGAAACAAGTCGAAGAACAAGTAAAAGAACCAAGAAACAAACACCTGAAGAAAACAAGTTTCACCGAAAGTTACAAGCACGATCGATCATCACTGGTACCTATGTAAGTCAACCTAAGAAACCAGTAATCAATGAGCGAGGCAAGGTTCCCAAAAAAAGAAGGGAGAAACAAAGGGGTTTGCATCGCTGTTGCTGTGAGAGGCGTCGTCGAGCGTATCGGCGTTCGTTGCCCCGCGTGTTACACGATATCCCCGGTGCAGAGAAGGGTGTGTGGCGTTTTACGAGATGCAAATGTCGGGCAGTCGGACAGCCAGTCAACCGCACCATCAACTCGGCCACCGGTGAACCGCGCCGAGCGTGTCCCTCTTCATCTTCCGCTCGCTCGCGCGCGCGCCGGGGATGGCTCGTAGCAAACAGCCCTGCAAACCGCAGAACTCCAAGTTACGAGGCCCGCGAGACGGCCTGTCGATCAGCAGCTGGGCGTAAATATCGCCAACTAGTTGCCGCGACAGGCGTTTCGCTGCTTCGCCCGTGACAATGCCGTGGACGTCAATCGGTGATCTCGACGCCGTAAACCTGCACAGGCGAGATCGATCTCCCGCCGCTAGCCGGACAGCGGCAGCTCGCTCCACTTCTTCCCATCTTTTTTGGCAAAACTATTATTATGCCGTCATTATAAAATTTCTTCGTGTTTTCGTTCAAATATTTTTCGATGCTATCTCTTACAACGTTCATATTGTCAAATTTTTTTGCACACTAAAAAATGTAACGCAGGAGACAGATGGTAATCTGATGGGATTATTTTTTTTGCACATTTTCGTGGTGAAAAATCACTTTGTTCCAATTTAAGAGTTTTGAACGCTTCGATGCTATTGCGTCTCTTAACTTTTCTAACTGAACACAGTACACACGTTTGCATTAATCGTTTCATTACTCGAAAGTAACTCGAAATACAGAACACATAGTGAAAAGTACAAATGGACAACCTAATGTAGCGTGGTATTTGAAAAATTCGGGTGCTCGTAAATTAAAGCACACAGTATGCTTCCATTTATCCCATATTATTGAATCAAGCAAACCGTCAAATTTAATTAAAAAGAAAAATATTCACCAGCTGAAACTTTTGCGTTTACGTATGGAAATTATTGAATCTTTTACCTCCATGTTTTAACATCCTGTTGCATTTTACAACCGACTTCAGTTTTATTCGAATACGCATTGTTTCTATTCAAATGTTCCAAGAGCCTCTATTTTAACGTGGCAACAATTTTTTCACCTTTCGTTTCAACGTTTAATATCTCGCTTTAAAGCCACAGTCTTGCCACCGTGTACGCGTTACGAGAGAATTTCTCATACGTTGCGTCTAACACGCACTTTAAAACGTACCATTATCAGTTTTCAATGTTACACAGACCAACAATTACACATACCGATGGAACTGCAGTCTAATACGCGATTCCATGAATCGAGAGTACGCCACGACTACATACGATGCTTAGTTAGGCTTAACTACCGTAAAACAGGCTACTTTTCTTCAGCTAGCACTTTATGCGTAACCGGCCAATAGTTAATGTTAGCTCTGTCCGAACGATTCTCCTTTCCTTCACGACGCCAGAAGGAAAAAAAGGGAGGAAGAAAACGACGGGTGTCTCTAAGCAAGACTACAAATAAAAGCGAGAACACGGTGAAAGATCTGTTAATGTTGCTAAACACAACGTTCAAGACAGTTAGAGGATCTGCCTAGTCAAATGATTTTATGTCCCAGGAAGCTTATCCAACGCTTTAAAATCCTCAGCATGTTGCTTGCTGTAAATTAGACAAGCTACAATCTCGAGAATTTCTGTCTTACGACACTTACACATAGGCACCATTCCGTTTTTCTGAATTGTTCAGAAAATTTCTGATCTATCTTGCAAATTCGAACAAACGTAATCCAATGAAATAGAGTAACGTCTAATATTTAAAAAGATTGCAATTTTCTTTATTCCATAACATTTCTCAACCCTTCAGCTACGAATTGAAATTAAACTGAATAAGTTATATTATTATTATTATTCATTTCCATGTAAAAAATTATAAATAACCATAACAGTACATACATGAAAATCAACATTTTAATATTTAATAATATAAAGAAGAAAGCCGCTATAGCTAGAGGGTTAATCAATTTTCCCCCACATATTTGTCACTACAACGCAAAATATTAATCACGCGTGTAACAACTGTTCGAAGACACTTTTTCCGAAGGTTTCCGAGAGAACGAGATCGGACGAGATTGAGGCAAGTGCATCAGGAAGCGGCGAAAGTAATTTCGAGAGGCCAAGACCAACGATAACTGGTCCTGTGTAGAAGAATAATCCATCATTATGTAACGATATACAGTAATCAACGCGTTGGAAGTCCTCGAGGCGAATCGTGTTCCCAGCAATCGAGTCCAATGGAAAAGAGACTCGCGTATACCATTCGACGCAGCGTGTGGTTAACGTTAATTCCATCGGTTGTGATTCTCCAACGACTAATTGCTTGGCGCTAATTACTCCACAATATTTCCGGAGTAACTCACCTTGCCTATGGGAGACCTTTCGCCTTATAAGAGAAACAGGATAACCTGAAGAAAATTAATGAAGACGCAACTGAGCCATCCTTTTACACGGTGATTAATTGCCGAGCTAATTTTAGAAAATCGTACAACCATATAGTGTCCGAATATTTTTGGGAGTAACTCGAACTGTCGCTAAAGTTAATCCCGCTATTTTTGCATTTCTGGCAAGCGTATTGAACGTACAGTTTAGCGGTTAAAAGATCGGCATATCCTACTTAAAAACTCCAAAGACGAAAAAAAAGAAGAAACAATAATAAGCAGAGTATCGACGAGATTTACTTCCTGAAGTGAAGAGAAAAATGGACTACAAGCGAAGCAAGCCAATATTTTCTCCGCCATTAATGCCTCCTTCCATTTTAATAGAGCGCAGTTGACAACGCGTAATTATATAATCGAGTAGTTCAACTTGTCTTCGATGATCTGTCAATTCTAACGCAACCCTCGTTATGAAAATTATATACAGGACGTTTCCAAGAAAATTACAGCAACACACTGCACTCTGAAATAGAAAACGTTTCAATACTTGCGCGAGAAAATAACTTTTCCCACAAGAGATGCTGTGAATTTGTCTTTCAGACTGGAACAAGCTTCTGAAATTCCGTGTAACGATGAATTCGTCGAATTAACGAAGAAATTGTTTCCGAGACACTGTGATTCTGTCATAACTCGGCTAAATTAATAGCGACGCATCGACATCGGCGAAACCTCTACGGTGCAATTAATAACGAGTTCGGACTGACTGTACAGTGACCAAAGTTATACATGGCGAGCCCTTTGAAACGGGAGTTCCCCATTATAGCCCTCCTGGGAGCCATTAAAACTTTGCTTAGATAATAAACGTCAGGGTAATATCGCGATCTAACGAGGACACATGGTACATAGGCGTGCGTTTTCTTAGACAGACTTGATGAGGGCATTGAATCGTGGTGATTACGACGAAATAGAAATAAGCGGGGAAAAAATAGAACGGTCCGTGGCGTAATTCCTAGGGCTCTTGACTTCGAAATTCGCAATGAACGCAAAAAGAAAGAAAAAGAATGTAAAGTTTCTTGGAAACACGCTGTGCAAATACAGAAAGTCTACGGTTAACTCTCCACGGTGTATTTACACAAGAAAACATAACAGTTACCAGGCTGAAGTGTGCAAAAACGCATGTTCGGTGAAAAACGCGACCGAGAAGTTGCACGTCGTTTCCTCGAGTTATATTAGCTTGCCGAGTGTACAGTTTGTACAGCGACGAAAGCAGAATGTTTTCCTTTTTTTTTTTTCTAAACGCAGATATTTAACAATTATCTAATACGTGACAAACGTAAAATAAAATCGCATTTCACTTTTTATAAAGGTATTTCTAGTATTACATCAACGATTACGTACATTGAATAACAAAAGGCCTTGTTAAATTTATGATCGATATATTACGCAATTTTAATCGCGCTTCGGAATTTTTAGTTTAGAATTAAGCGATGTGCTAGTTATAGAAAAAAAAAAATAGAATCACTCACCCTATCTTGGTTATCAGCTTTCCATGAACGTGTAGATAAGATGTAACGAACCGCTTATTCACCTGGAACATACAGGAAACCGATGATTTAAATGAAAATTTGACAATGTGATTTATCAAGAAGAAAAGAAATTTATAAAAATGCATCATTCAAACGTGATTTATTTTATTTTATTTCTTTTACGCAACAATTAAAAAGAAAGGAAGTAATTTTGTTTGCATGAATTTTTTTTTTACCTCGACGCTGCTTAATTGTGCCAATTCTTCTAAATCACTATGAGATAATCTTGCTTCGTTAGCAGTGGCTGCAGTAGTTGTACGACGAACTCGTCTTCCACCGGGGTGAATCCAAATTTCCCTCCTCAATCCTCCACCTATGTTATTGGCTCCTTCTTTCTCTTTCATCCTGGCCCGTTCTTTCCATTCTCTCTCTTCTTTCCGTTTCCGTTCAGTCGATTCATACTGTTAGAATACATAACACAGTTTAATTATCTGAAAAATCACTTGTACAATTAAGGACTGCGTAGTGCGTAGCGTAGATGAGAGTTCATTGTATATTACTTATCTAGAAGTCCCGTCAAGTACTCGTGTTTTATTATACCTAAATTCTCTCAAATACTAACGAATGATACAAACATCGTATGTATAAAGCATAAACGGCTAAATAATAAATATTTGTATCCTTCGATTGCGACTATTTAAAAAAAAAAAAAATGCATGCTAGTACCGTTGTGCGAAATTGTGCTAAAAACTAATAGGAATGGTGCTTTGATCCGTAGGAAACTATCTAGCAAAATGCAGCGGACAATATTCGAACAATGTTCAAAGTATTATGTTTCTATTTCTTGTGAACACTACCATTTCGAATTACTAATTACACTCTCAATTTTATTTAAGCATAGAATGTTTTGCCTTTAAATAAGTATGAATTGTGCGAGAAATATCGAACTCTGTACATTCAACTAATAATTTTAAGCGTGTGAAAAGGCATATAATGCATAAAGAAAACTTATCAGAAAAATTCAATGCACATGAAACAAAAGTATATTAGACAGTTCGAAGGTAAAAAGAACTAACTGAAGCTTTAGTTAAGTTAATGACTGGTATTTAGAGAAATCACACCAAGTATCGAAATTTACTTACATAATGTAGATACTGGCAGCAAAACAAAATCAAAATATTATTAACGTTAGTATTAATACAAACGTAAAAGTAAAATAGTTGAACATCTGTCGTACCTTCTTTCTATTTTCATCGAAAAGTGCTATTAGACTCTCTCTCGCAGAATGGAAGGGATTGGATGCCATAAGAGATCGCATGTAATAATAAACAGCATCCAATTTTCGTCTCTGGAAACAAAATTCATATTTAATGCTTTTTATTTCAAACATTTCACTCTTCGTTTATTACTCGTAACGTAAGAATACGTACAGCATAATGTGCCAATAGCGCAAGTTGGTTGTAAGGCCTGCCATTCTTTGGATTAAGTTGTTGTGCTTTCAAATACCACCTGAAAAGTATTAAATTTTGAATAAAAGAGACCCTACAGAACATGATAACAATAATACTATGTTCATTTGCACTTACTGCCTAGACTTTCCATAGTTATTTGTTTCATTGGCTTGTTCTCTATATCTCGCCAAGTCACCCAAAAATAGATATATTTTTTGCGCGCTTACTAAGGCTAAACCTAAGATTCCAAGGCCCTTAGGCAAAGTTGATGATGCAAGAAACGTATCCAATTTAAATTCGTATTTGGTTTCAAGAACAGTCAGCAAACCCTCTAAATATACGGTACCATCGTCAATGATATTCATCATAATTTTTTTATAATGTTCTCTTCCCTCAGAACTTTCCTTAGGCATGCCTTTTCGCAGCATTTCAATCATATTATAAAAAAGTATTTTCCAAAAGTGTTGTTCAACGTTCTCGGCTTGACAAAATTTAATATCAGTCTCGAGCAAAGTTTTTAAACTTTCTTGTAGAAAGTGTCTTATGTACAAAACCCTTTCCCAATTTGATGTAAAACCACCGGAACTTAATATCCATTGCAATTCTAAATCAGCACGTTCTATGTCCAAAAGTAGATAAGGATTTTTGGCTAATCGGAAACTGTGAAACAAAGAATTGTTGTAAATTGTTATTAATACAGTCATCTTTATTTTTCCATGGTGTGTAATGTACTCGTTAATTGCACATACCTATCAGAATAAGGATCGTACCACGAAGGTCTTATATTTCCAAATTGGTCGTTTGTCATATATGGAGGTGGTACACCATCCAAGTGTGTGCTCTGGAAGTTATGTGTAGAAGTAATACCTCCATGAGACTGAAACACTGGTATACTCGAACTTTGAGGTGTGGTTTCAGTTTCTCTGAAAAATATTAACCAATCAATAGATCGATTATAGTAATGTTAAAAAAAAATTAAGAAATAAAGAAAATTATAAATATATTTATACCTTTGCGCTCCTGTTCTACTGCTGGGTAAAATAACAACGATAGGCTTATTAGGATTAGTAGGATCAAATAACGTTCTTTGCTGCTGCACTCCTTGCTGTCTTGAACTTGGATGACTAGGCGGAGATTGGCTAGTATCAGGTAACACTAACACACCTGGTGGTTGAGAACTAGTATATCCACTAGGTGATGTTTGATGTGTTGGCAAAGTACTTGATAGCGAGACAGAATGAGAGGAAACACTGGGTGTTTGTCGTCCGTCGTCAGAATCACAAACTGACATTTTTCTACCTGTTCTCCAATTTTCATCTAAATACCGATCAGGCAATCTGAAAACCATAGGTGAATAAAACTTTATTTTTAAATTTTAGTATTTATACCATGAGAAATATAAACTGCTCAGAATAATTTATACCTATGTCTATGAAGATCATCAAAGTTTCGATTACCACCACGATAATTTCTATCTTTACTAGATTCTCGGCTACGTTGTATAATATTGCGATGTCTTCTGTGATCATATCTTCTACCACTACTACTGTTTTTTTGATTATTATTATAATTATCATTTTCTCTATTTTGTTGATTGTTTTGACGATCACGACTATTAACACGAACTTTATCCCTACTGTTACTCCTTAAACAATACAAAAAATAAATTTACTATAAAATGAATTGTCCTTGAAGTATAAATAATGGACATAGGCTATTTATGCAATATATATACAAAGTAAAAATGTTGACAACTCTTACCTTCCTTGATCTGCCGCGTATTTCCTCTCACGCTTTTTTTTTTTACGTTGGCTACGGCCAGTTGTTGTTTCATTTCCCAATACATTAACATTTTCACGTAAACTCAGTACAGATGAACTGCGACTTATGCGCTCGGCTTCCAATTTCTCGCTTAATTCAACTTCTTCACACCAATCCTATATATCACAATTTAAATGTAATATACGTACGTCGGTATAAGTTATAATTAAATTTCAAATAAAACACTTACAAATCTCTGCTCTATTGTTGCATTTGGTCCAGTATTAGTAGAATCACTCTTTGATGAACTAACACCTGAATTTTGTGAACCGTTTTTCTTTTCTTGTGTCGTATTGCGTTCGGATGTATTACTTGCTCGTTGTCTTAGAAATTAAAAGAAAATTAATAAAAATATTAAAAGAGTAAATAGTTATTTTAAACAGATAATTACGGTTGAGTACGGTGAGAAGCTGCAGGCGGGGATATTCCTCGACGATGACTATCAGGCGATGTTTGACGTTTGTTTGCATTAACTACGGAAGTAACAGGTGACACTGACGATGGTGGTGGTATCATTGAACTATCTGCTCGACTTAAACTTTCCATACTAGTATACATAGTACTATTACTACCACGGCGATCGTAAGACCTATTTTTGAAGAGGAAATATACCTTTGCATATACTCTTGGCTTGGTGTATGAGACCTGGAACTTGGAGCTGAATACTGATCAGGTGTAACACACCTAAAAATGTTTGTTGAACTTTCTAATTCTTCTGGTCTGAGTCTACCTCTACCTCTGCTACGTGCTGGTATTGTATTAGACCAATTAGATTGTGGAGGTAATGGACCAGATGGTGGTAAATTTTGCATCGTTTGTGAATGTTGCATTGCAGGTGGGAAATTATAATTTGATGATGCCTTTAAAAAGAGAATTCATATTTTAAAAATGTAAACTTACTAAAAGTAAGACATTACTTTTACCTGAAATGTGACACTACTGCTATTCCATGTATCTTCTGAAGGTGATGAACTTGGTGGTAAGGGTAAACCATTATCAATAAGATATTTTTTCTGTAACCTCGGTGGTAAATGTTCTATTTTTATATTTTTTGGCAAACTATCTTTTGCACCACCCCATTTACCTGATGGTGGTTTGCCTTGAAACTTTTCTGGATGTCCAGCAGGTTCTACACTACGTGTGTCTCTAGTACGATTAAAATCATTTACGTGGTTCGTTGTTATAAAAAGGGGTTCTGAACCCTAAATAAGCAAATATTAAAAATTAGTAAAAAGAAATTGTTTTTAAAATGTAAAGTTTCAAATTAGAATTATCCCAGACCTGCCTAACTTCACGAGAACTATCTTTCCTATTTCCATAACTTCTGCTAGATAAAGGAGAATCAGATCGCCAACGTTCCTCATTTTCATTTCCGTGACGAGTTCTACGATTGCCTGAATACCTTTTACCATGATCATCTCGATTTTTACTTCCACTTTCACTATCTCTTCCACCACGACCTCTTGACCGATTACGTTGACTATCGCTTTTATAACTACGATTAGAATGAGAATCACGATCTTCGCTATGTTCCCTCTCTTGATCACGATCCCAACCCCCTTGATTAGGAGATCTAAAAGAAAAAGTTAACAGTTTTATTCAATCCACAGATTTTCATTAGTAAACAAAAATAAAAATATTTTTGTAGAATTTACCTATTTGTTACATCCTGTTCAGCCAATGCTTCTTTTACTTTTTTAGGTACATATAATTGTTGTTCTGGTTTCTTAATTTTCTTTCTTGAATCTCCAGAATTACTATTTTGAGAAGAACCTTGTGCCTGTTCTATATTTGTAATGCTTCTATAGTTAATATTTAGATCATTCAATTTTTCTGACACATTTTCAACTTGAGATGATGGTGGACTGTTTGAAGTTTGGTTGGTTCTATTAAGTTGTGATTGCTTTAAATGATGTTGGACGGAGCTTGATTTAGGTTTTTCCTGTGAGATAGTTTCATTATCTAAATCATCTGTAGATCTACCCGACTTTCGAAGAGGTCCACTTCCTGGAGTATACAAAGGTTGAGAGGCTCTATTTCCTCCACCTCGCATTCCCATTGATCTATCCTTTTCTAGTTTTGAGTTATCTAAAAACAATAAATTTCTATTTTTTACAATTTATTCAGAAATACAAAGACAAATAATGATAAATTTTA